CAAACAGAAGAAGATGGTTGCCGCACTTCAGCTGCCTTGGCCTCAATCAAACCTACGTGATGACCCGAACCATGACCTCAATCGTATCATGATGACGCAACATGACGTGACAAATGGCACATGAAAAGAAAGGTCACCGAAAATTCCAGAATTGACCTCCCCCCACTCCCTTTCACCCACTGTCCCCATTTTATCCACTGGTCCCGATTAAACTTGACAGAGATTGTTGCATTTTCACACATAACCTCTATGGTCTAACCACATTTATTTCTACATGAGATATAAATACGCACACATAACTGTAAAAGCCTGAAGACGAAGTTACGAAACCAAGCTTGTTCGCCATACTGTTTTACTTTTGATATTCATATGGGAATCTTCCGTGAATTTAGTTAGTAACGCTTTTGAAAGCGGTGCCGTTTTGAGCTGCTAACAGTCGAATGTTATGAATCTCTGGTTGATTGTAGAACTTCAGTGGCTAGGTTCAAACAAACGACGTGATGAAATATTGAAGTTAACTCCTTAGACGAAGCAATCGTCGATGGATGTTTTTGCTTGCAAAAAGTGTGCTGAATATGGCTATCAAACTGACACTTAAATTCACCAAACTGGAAAGGAGAGCTTCCAGTCCAATAAATCTACAAGAATGAGGCAATTTACTATCCGGGAACTACCGACGATATGAATTTATATAAGGGTGGTGCCGTCATTGATTCGGCCTTGAATTCGGAGCTCCTCACATCTGACAAAGAAAACCAATAACTATGTGCAAATGAGGCGTGAAATAAAAAGCTAGGACGGAGGGCGGACCCTGGACTCCCACGTCACAAGTTGGTGTCCTAACCACTTGGCCACCACTTTTTCACTTCACTTGTTTATTGAATATACAACTGTGCAATCGAATTTCAGGAAGGGGGCTGCAACCACGCAATGGTTACCTGGGAAAATACAGAAAGGCGGAAGATAAGCAGCTGTGGATCGGTTCGAACCCGGGACCTCCAGGTCACTATTTTGATGATCGTAGCCACTTGAACACCATCGCACGTTACAGTTGTGTATATGTCTATCGTTTAGAGTATGAATGAGCATCATAGTCAGATGCAGTGAATATAATTATTTGATTGTGATGCCCTTCGGAAAATGTTTGCAGTCTGTTGATTGAGTCGGACACCCATTTCCGGTTTGGATCACCGGGGTCTTGCCAAAGGTCACAATCGTCTAGGTTGATATTTCATGCAACCAGTTCCCTTTAACAAGTTCAGGAGAGCAAGAAGAAGCGTCATGCTCAGACGATATATTGATCCCACCCATAACACTGTAGTTTCGCAAGTCGGTCGGTTGATACTGTCAGGCTGAGACCATGTTAATTCCTCATGTGCTTGTCTATTCAATGCATTTGCGGTAGCAAGTATGTAGCACGTATATCGGTAACGTTCCGATCAAGTCATGAATCTGGAGATTAGTANGATTAGTAGTGAGAGGACGAGACTCATTAAAGCTAGTAATGCCCTATTGAGAGCCTGACACACTGATTCAATAAGCTAATTTTAGCAATACCAAATAAAAGCCAAATTACAAGATGTGAGCGATTGTGTTGACCATCTAGCAAAACTTTCATCAAACCTTTTAATAGATTAATCTGAGACTACAAACAGTTATACGGCAATCAATGCATAGTGACGGAATTTATGTGTACAGCTCACTATATACGTATGTATTTCTTTGAAAGGGGCTACTTTCGTCAGTAAACGCGAGCCCATGAAATCGTTCCATCTGGCAATCACGTGTGCTCAAGAAAGCATTGCACACGTTCATTCAAGGTAAGAAGTCAATCAAAGGGCTGCCATAGGAACATAAATGGACGTGGTTCTGATGGATTTTGAACAAAGGACCTTTTA